CGAAAGGCCACTTCTAGAAGTCTCTAACTTGGCCTTTCGGTACTGTAGCAGCTACGACTTTGCCCTTTCAGGTAAGTAGCGGCTACGACCTTGACTCTTCAAACAACCTACAGCTATGACCTCTGAGCTGTTTAGACTCCTACCCTACAAGTCTACAGTTCGAATCCCTCCTACCCTGTGTCCTACGAACCTCTACCTACCACTGGTGATCCTACAGGTCGCAGGTTCAAAGCTACGGGTTGACATCAATACTGTGCACAGGTAAGACGGGGAACTAGGGATCGAGCCCTGGGATCTGCATTCGCCACTGCGAACTGGTGAATACCGTTTCACTCCCGCCGGCCGAAATTCGAGGTCCTCCGAGAAAATTTCAGTCCAAGGCAGGACCTTTACCCTTCTGCTGTCTCTCGTAGGCCCGGACTATATCGGGAGCTGTCTCTAGAAGTTCCGATCTTGTAAACCAGCGGTCGTCTTCCGATTCCTGATAACTAAAATGAACGTTATACTGTTTCTGCGGACGACCCCTACCTCCAGTTCTGAATACGTCTTCAGCCACTATGCCATCGATGTCATACTTTCCATCCATATCGGGTGGAATCATAGATCTACGGGATGGAAATTGATCACTTGTCTGACAACGTAGTAACTTCGATGCGTGGAAAACTGGGTAACAACGTAGTAACTTCGATGCGTGGAAAACTGGGTAAGTGTGGAGGTGTGCTGGTAACTCTATGGTGTAGGATGGTCCATCTTCGCCGCCCTTGACTTCCAGAACAGGCAACGGCCCTCTATATGTGGGCAGTAACTTCTGCGAGATGTTCTCCTCATGTGCAAATTCTCTAGAACTAACCCAGACTAAGTCGCCTACCTGAAACTGTGAAGGGCGACGGTGTTTGTTCGCTTGCTCTATCATCCTATGCTGGGCTTTCCTGAGGTTCTCGACAATAGTAGCTAGTTCTTTCTCATGCTGTACAGCAAACTCCCTGGTCTCGGGCGGCAACCTGTGAATCTGATCCCGGTTGAGTCCCTCAAACGGTCTGTGCGGTCTAAAGGACTTGTGCAGTTCATTGGGAGTGCGGCATGTAGACAGATGCACGCTGTTATTGTACGCACTAGCTACTTTGGGCAACATCTCATCCTAGTTAATCTGATCGGGTCTAATATACATGCGCAAAACTTGTTGTAGGATCTTGTTCATTTGCTCTGTCTGACCGTTAGTCTCTGGATGACGGCCAGACGACATCGACAACTTGGACCCATATACTCCCATGAGTTCTTGCCAGTTCTGGCTGGTGAAGCGACTATCTCTATCGCTAACTATTGATAGCGGGATTCCATTCTCACTCACCCAACAGTAAAAAAAACTCTGAATGACTAAATCAGTACGTGCCTCTGACGGTAAAGGAACAAAGACTGCGTACTTACTAAATCGGTCAACTATGACCATGACTTGGCTCTTGCCATGCCTGCTCTTGACCTGAGTGTCCATGAAGTCGATGGACATTGAGTCTCCCGGTTGGTCCGGAATGGGTAAAGGGTCCGAGAAGACCTATCGGGGCGCGCGTAGAACTCTTGTTACGCTGGTAGACCTTACAACTGCGAACATACTCTACGCAGTCATTCTTCATCCCTGGCCAGGTATACGCGCGCATCAGATTGGCTAAGGTCTTTTGCCAACCAAAATGACCCTTTGTGTCATGGCATTCGCCCAAAATCAGACTACGAATCTCTTCACTATTCGGAATGCACAGGCGGTCAAATACATTAGTCTTCTCAAAGAGCAACCCTTCAGTAGTGCGATAGTTCGGCTCAGTCTCTGGGGCCTCCTTGACCTTCTTAAGGAGCTCACTATAGATAGGGTCCTGCGCATAGGCCTCTCTAACCTTCGGTTGCAGGTCCTTCCCTATATCGAGGTGGTGCACTATTGCCCCAAAGTAATCTGCCCTCCTACTCAGAGCATCCGCGACTACGTTGTACTTCCCTTTAACAGGCTTGAGCTCGAAGTCGTACTGATCTATTTCAACGGCCCAACTGGTAAGCTTAGGTGTCATCTTGGCCTGCGTCTTTAACCATCGTAACGTTTCATGATCTGAATAGACTTTGAAGTGCCTCCCAAGCAAGTAGTGCTTCCAGTGGTCTAAGGCTTGTCTGAGAGCGTAGAGTTCCCTCTCATAGGTAGATGTCGCGACCTTCTCTGAAGGCATTCTGGCAGACATGAACTCTACGGGCCTATACCCATTGCCATCGTCTTGCTGTAACACTGCGCCTATGCCGTATTGACTCGCATCGGCCGTGACGACAAAGGGCAAGGACGGGTCGGCGACTTTAAGGACTAGATACTCTATCAATGCCTGCTTTAACTTTTTCATGGCAGACGTGCAGTTCTTATCCCACTTCCAGATAGTTTCCTTCCTCAACAATCTGCGAAGGGGCGCAGCGATGGTGGAGAAGTTCCTTACGAACTTCCAGTAGTAATTAGCTAAGCCCAGGAACGAGCGCAACTCTGTCAGCGTACGTGGCGTGGGCCAATCTCTAATCGCTGCGATCTTGCTATCCTCTGGCTTAACACCGTCTCCGTCTAAGACGTGGCCTAAGTACAAAACTTGGGTTTTCGCCCAATCGAACTTCTTTGCATTGATCTTGAAGTTAGCTTCCCTCAACTTCTCCAAGACCTGCCTGAGATGACCCTGATGCTCTTCGAGGGTCCGGCTAAATACTAAGATGTCATCTAAGTAAACTACAACAAATTTGTCTAACCACGGCCTAAACAAATCGTTCATGCGGCGTTGGAACGTAGCTGGCGCATTGGTTAGTCCAAAGGGCATCACTATGAACTCGTAGTGCCCATATCTAGTCCGGAAGGCTGTCTTATACTGATCAWMAGGATGCACCTCTATCTGATGATATCCGGACTTCAAATCTATCTTGGAGAAATACCTCGCCCCCTGCACTCGATCTAAGAGATCGTCTATCCTAGGCAGTGRCTCARCATWCTTCACWGTAATGGCATTCAGACCCCTATAGTCYATACACATCCTCRACTCTCCCTCTTTCTTGGGGACAAAGAGAACAGGGGCTCCAAAAGGAGACGAACTGGGCCTAATCCAACCCTTTTCAAGGAGCTCGTCCAACTGTTTCTGTAGCTCCTCTAACTCCCGCGGGGACATCCTATACACAACACCCTTAGGAGTTCTACTGCCAGGGTTTATCTCAATACGGTGCTGGATGGGCCGCGGCATCGTGCCTGTCGGCGGCTCAGTCAAATCCTTAAACTCTTCCAGCAATTTGGCAATAGCAGGGTCTACGGGCTTCTCTTCCTTAGGCTCAGTGACTGGCCTAACATAGGCAACAAAGACCTGTTCCTCTAAGTGCTCCTTCTTCATTAATCTGGCGAACGCAGGGGCACTGAGGCAGCAATGTGCCAATGAATTCTCTACTCCTGACACATGGAACAGGCGGGCAGTCTTAGCCTCGCCTGCAACACTAGGGAGCCTACACTCGTGCTCCTTCAAATGGAGCGTGGCCCCAGCTGCCTCTCCCCAATCCATTCCCAGCACAATATCAAATGGGAGGCTGTCCTCTACGAGGAGAGTCAGGGAGTGGAGGACCTTCTCCACCTTCCCATCTTTCTCTAGGCGRAAATACGCCTGGACTCCCTCTACGTAATCCTCTACAACCATGGTACGATTGTCCGCGAGGATACTAACTATGGGGTTTGTCAGTTTCTGGACTTTAAGTGCCAGCCTCATCTTCTGCAGCGCTTTCTTACTAATATAGCTGCGGGTGGCCCCTGAGTCTACTAGGGCCCCTACTCTACTTCTAAAAATCTCTGCATCTAATAAAATCAGCTACCCTTTATTATCCTTCTTCATCTTGGCCCAGGCGGGCCTCCTCTCCTTCAATTCTTCGGCCACGCCTGTGAGGGAGGTGTCTAGAGAGATTCTAACACAAGCAGTCTCTGGGCAGCTATCTAGACACCGGCCTGCAACCTCTGCCATAGGCACATGTGGTGTGGGAGTCTCCTGCTGGATAGCACTATGTTCCCCACGTGGCCTAGTGGTAGGGGCAGTTGCTACCCCTACCGGCGGCTGCCTTTTGGCCCTTGGGCAGCCGTTCGGGTCTCGCGATACTTAGGACAGTATTTGATGATGTGGCCCGGGTCACCACAGAAAATGCACTGGCCCCGGTCCAATCGTTGTTGCCATAAAGTCTGGTCCAGACCCAAAGATTCCCAAGGCCTGCCCTGCGGCAGCCCTGGGTGCCATCCTCCTACTCTATAGGGTGACCTATTCCTAGGACGGTTTTGCAGGGGACCTTGACCCCTGCCTCCCGCTTGGCGGTTTCCTCCTCTACCGCCAACCCCGTGATCGCCCTGGAACCGGCTCCCTGAGGCCCGGCCCCCTTGGCCCTAGCCTCGTCCTCCTTGCGGCCTCCCTCCAGCCGCGACAGCAGCGTAAGTCCTCCCCTGGCCCACACCGCAGTCATCCTCCTCTAACCCCCACTCAATCTGGTCGTAGGGGATCTCATCCACACTACCCTCGTCTAGAGTTAGGACAAGGCTATCCTTAGTCTTCACTTGCCCAGAGATAGTGCGGCCCTTCCATTGCTTCCCCTTGTCCAAGTGTTTGTGCCAGAAGGTAGACACAGATGCTGACTTGGCTTCAAAGGCCACCACTTCACGACTAAGAGAATCATACGTAGTGGCCGGATCTTCGCTCTTCGCAAAGAAGTGCTCTCGCAAGGCTTCGGGGATAGCCCGGTAGAAGAGGCCGACCAATTGGGTGTCTGTGACCCCATGGTCAGGAACAGCGATTAATTCGTCCATCGTGCTCTTGAGTGCYCYGRCACTCTTYCACTTACGAGCGTGGATTGTCTGGAGCCTATCTGAGGCCTTGACACTTTGAGCGACATCTGCAAATCGCTCGCGCAGCAATCTCATGAACTCAGTGCGGGAAGTGAATGCCGAATAGGCAACTGGATCGTCACTGCAGTTGGCAGCGCGAACAAGGGATCTTGCGAAGCTGGCGGCCTCATCTCTAAGTGCGTGGATCGCAATTAGGACTTGCTGATCCGGGGAGACCTGTTGCAGATGCACGTAGGTCTTAACGTTGGCCTCCCAGTTATCAAAATTCTCTTTCCTCTTCCCACTGTAGGAATCAGGGAATTTGACCTTGACTGGCTCTCTACGTGGCGGGCGTGGTTCCTCTTCCTTGGGAGCTGCCGCCTTGACGCCCTCAATGGCGCCAGCGCAAAATCGTTCAGTCTTCTCGAGGCGATGATTCACCTCGGATCCTATTGCGCCTACCAATCCGCGAGCAAAGTCCCGAAACCCCATTCGTATGGAGAGCACAGCCATGTCCTGACTTCGACTAAAATCGTATTGTTGTTCTTGTATCCGGGCTAAGCGCTCGACAGCCTGGGCAATGAGTTCTACCTTTTTCTCAAGGTCTACTTGCGGGGTCAACTTCAGGGTTAGTTGCTGCATCTCCCCTAGGTCCTTGACCGCGTCAATCGCCGCGTCCACTTTCCTCTTCTTTTCCCTCATCACCCTCAACTTCCGAGTCCACTCCATCCTTTTTTCATCCTCCATTGCATGCCGCCTCACAACATCCCTTTCGACTTCCCACTCCTTCATAGCGGCTTCCTGCTCATCCTTGGGGATATACATGACTACCTCTTCTTCTTCTCCCAGGGACAAGTTGGCGACCCACTCTGAGATCCGCTTCTCCATTTCATCATCTTTGCTGCCACTGTACTGCCCTCGCTGTTCTCTTCTCCTCTCCAGTGGCTGATCATCTTCCTCCTCTTCTTCTTCCACCTCCTTCAACTTCGCTTCCTCCTCTTTCTGTATCCTCTCCTTCTCTCTAGCCATCTCTTCTTCTATCTTCTTTAATTTGGCCGCCTGCTCCTCCTTCAAGGCCTTCTTCTTGGCCTCCTTCTTCTCCTTCTTCTCCTGCAGAATGGCGACCATCTTCTCCTCCTCCTCCTTCGTGTAAGGGTTGGTGGAAGTACCACCACGAGTGGGCCCTACTCTACACGTGAAAGTGGGCCAGAACCCCAAAGGAAAGAGGAGACGCCAGAGAGTCCCCAGAGGGAAAACCCAACAAGCAGCCCATACATCGGATAGTCGTCCATCGTGGCGTCAGGTGCACGACCAAAGTCCCACTCCTCACCACTTAGACCTACCCGGACACAAACCCACTAACTGACTTCCTAAGGACCCTGTTACTATGGTCACTAACCCAAGACTACTCTAAGGCTGTCACTACTGAACCAAAAGCTGACCTGGAGGCATTTAAGGAGATCCCCCAAACTCCTCAATAATTCTTTAACGTCGCAGACAGGACGACGTGGCCAGCTTGGTTCTTCCTGGCGATTTCAGCCCACAACTCAACCGTTCCAGCCTACTATGCCACACCGAGCAGCCCGCCGGTCTGTACCGGTCCTTGGAGGGGTTCGTATCCCTCGGGACAGTCGAGTCGTTAGACACAGATCATTAGCTGTAGTAGGTCCGGTAGGGGAGTGGCTCAACCAGGCCTCAACACTTAAAGACGGCCCTCATTTCAGCCTACAGCTCGGAGTTCAGACCCTCTACACTGAACTTTGTAGACCTGCCGGACAGTACTGGTCATTGGGCTAGACGAGTTGTTTAACGACCGCTCGCCGCTCTTGCCCAAGTCTCCAAGTGCCAGCGTAGAGCTTTGGTCCAACTAAGCCCGTGCAGGTTTGGCAGCAAGGCCCTATCCTTCATCCATAGAGTCCTAACACCTAGGACAAAAGAGACTCAATGCAGAAAGAGAGACAAACAGACTCGGCAAGTACCGTGGGGTAAGTGCACATCCACAGGGTAAGGGGATAGGTTGTAAGGTCAACGAGATATCACCAACTCCAGCTTGGTTAAAATCTTGGTCGGCAGCTCTGGTCAACGCCTTGGTCAACGCTGAGTCAACGCGGACAACCCCCAGTCAACGCTTGGTCAACCACCTTGGTCAACGCCTAGTCAACCCTCTGGTCAACGGTCTGGTCAACCCTCTGGTCAACGGTCTGGTCAACGCCCGGTCAACCCCTCACCTCGGCTATGGCTGCCGGCACCTTCACCTTCGTCACCCTCGCCGTCTACTTCCCCTTCCTTCACTTTCTTTCTTCTTCTCTTTCGCCTGTTTTTTTTTTTTCTTTTTTTTTTTTGTGTGTTCACCCCCGGCTATGTCTGTCTTCTTCTTCGATCTCCTCCTTCCACACTTCTTCTTCTCTCTCCTTAGTCCCTCCTTCTCTGTCCTCCCTTTCTCTCTCCTCCGGTACTCTGTGTCAATGCTCCGCGGCTATGGCCGCCGTCTTCCTTCTCCACCGGACTCCACAACTCGCCTCACTGGTAAGTGACAACCAATCTTGGATCGCTCATCTCTCTCTCTCTCTCTCTCTCTCTCTCTCGTCGTGATCTTCTTGTTGCAGGTGCGCGGCGTCTTCTTCCACCTCGAGGTCCGCTATGGCGGACAGCCTCCTTCGGCGGTCACTTCAGCTATGGCCCATCGGCCCTGCACACATCGCGCGCGTGGAACAGCGGGTACCTGCTCCGATACCAGTGCAATCAGACTTGGATCATTCCCACTTGTCTTGCATGCAAACAGCGATACAGCAAACTGGCGACATGTGCCCACACTGTACTCAAAGATATCGTAACCGGATAAGAGTTCTCTTCGACTGGCTATGGGGGCTCTGCGCCCACACAACTCACTGTTCGCACGCTGGATCACTCTGGATGTCCCACACGCAACACTCAGTGTTCATACGCAGCACACACACACACTGTACTAGAGCTATGACAGCGCTAGCTGCCACTATCCTATCGCTATACTACACTTCACTGCCCCCTTCGACTTCGGGCGCACTGCAGACCTCCTCGCACAAGCTGCTGAGGCAGCGCTTCCGCATGGCATCCGCAGGAATGAATGAATGGCTGRACGCAGCCTCTTGATTTATACTTCTGCACTGCATTGGTCTGCCCCTTATCCCTTGGCCCACGAGGTGCACAGTCCCAGACGGTACTTGCTTGACTGGACCGGACTGGACTAACTGGGACTGCTGACCGGACTAGGTGGACT